CACGTGTCAGTAATCCAACGGCCGAAGGGTCACATCAGCCTAGTGGCACCGGCAGTGGTACGTCAACCGCATTGAATGCGGTTGGCGGATGTGACGTGGCATTAAATGCGGAGGTTGGCTGTCTCTAAAAGGAATCTTTGGTGATTGAGCCTGTTCAGCCGAAGGCTCCTTGTGTAGCCGAGGGCTCCCTGGTGTGGCCGAGGGCTTGGTTCAGCCGAAGGCTTCTCGTGTAGCCGAGGGCTCCTTGTGTAGCCGAAGGCTCCTCGTGTAGCCGAGGGCATAAGAATGCCGAAAGCTCATGTCTTCGCCCGTTTTCTCCCAGCAGCTTCTTATGCCAGAAAGGCTATCCTGCGAGTTCTGGAGCCTTCGGCCAAGGAGGCCGAAGGCATCCCAGTGTGTGTTCTGAGCTACTTTGAGGCTTGGGCCGTTGTATTTGGGCCTGAGTTGTTCTCTGGGCTCAATGGACCTGTGTAGGAGAAGTAGGAGTCTATGGGCCGGGGGTTCCTGGGCCATATACTCCATCATACGGAATATATAATTAGGGGCCTATTTTTTGTCTTTTGTCCAGGGCCTATAAATTGTCAGGCCCGGCCCTGATCCTAGAAGTCCTAGAATCTCAATGAAAAGGAGTAGTTGAAGTTCTATATGCATGCTGATAAGTACTACGTAGTTTTCGGGCAGGGCCGGCCCAGGGGGTGTGCAGGGTGTCCGACCGCACAGGGCCCAAAAATATGGAAGGCCCAAAAAAATAAATTAGTAGTAGTATTACTACTAGTCTACTAGTCCGTATAAGCTAGTCAGCCCAATAGTGAACAAAAAGGTGCGGGACGAGCATAGGAATCTGCGAAAGAGGAAGCGCATAGGCCAAAGGGCATAACGAGTGACTGAGCGAGACGAGCGACGTGCGGACGACTCTCCGTCTCCAGGCTCTACTCCAGCCTCGAGCCATCCTGATTTCTAAGTTGCTGCGGCGATTCAGACACATCTAGGACGGAAGGACTCCACTATTCTAGGTCTATAAATTCGTAACTAATAGAGAGTAATGGTTCTTTATGAATTAATTTTGTAATCTGAGTTCAACAAAATGATATTAATAGGGTCTTAGGCTGTTAAATTTGTTTTTGTTTCACTATATAACTTTATACATAAATAAATTTTTTCTTGGATTTATTACTGCTAGTTAATACTAGCAACTTCTATTTTGAAATAATTTTTTAATAAATTACAACTACTCCATATTAACAATTTACCATTTCAATTGAAATAGCATTTAATTTCTATTAACGATAGAAAAGAAAGGTCTGATTTTTGTTGTTACACAGGGCCCTCGTTTTCTCGGGACCGGCCCTGTTTTCAGGAGAGAGTTTTGAAAAAGCTATCCTTATTAATTTGAATTTGTGCAATTAATCTGATTAATTTGAATACATTGAAAATTAATTATCCAATATATCGATGAAATTCTTAACAAATGAAGTTGATTATGGAAGAAAAGGTGAATAGTGACGACAGTTTGCCCTCAACAGGCATGACAAAAACTTGGATGCTTTATTTTCCATGCACATTTATTAAATTTGAATGGAATAAATTCCATCTCGATAAAATGGCTGAAGTTCAACATTCTACATTACAAAAGGGTTTGATGATTTAATTTTTTTAAATCTTAACATTCAGGGCATCCTCATTCATGAGTTTATTTTGGGATTATTTTGATGATGTGGATGATATTTTTGAAGATCATGGTTGAGAAGGTAGGATTATTTGGAGATATTATTTGAAAGAAAAATCTAGTATCAAATATTAAAACCCGAATTATTAGAGATTATTTAGCTTGATTTTAATGTACGACCCTTAAAAATTATCTACCACTAAAACTATACTCCGTATACTACTACGTACGTGTTTTTTTTTGGAGTATACACCACGTGTTGAGAATAGGAAAGTTGCACCTGTTACACACATTCATTAAATTAAAATAAAATAATGTATATATTATAGTAATTGTGATTGAGTGTATATTAAAAAAACATGTGTCTAATTTATTTATTTATGTATATATACATGTATGTGTACATGCATATTATATACTTCGTGTAATGTGTAGTAAGAGTATTGTGTGTACGTAGTGGGTGCATGTGAGTGCATTTAATTGGGAGTTTTTGAGTTTAAGTGTTTGTCTCATAAAAATTTGAATATATAGAGAGCATTGTTGAGGAGAAGTTGATAAACTTTGAGATTTTTTATGTGATAATGACATGACAATATTAAGCCATAAAAAGCCGTAATTTTTGGGAACATGAATGGAGATGTTCAGGGGATAGACATTCCATACATTTATTACCGCATGTCATAATTTTTAGGCCTTTTTATTCTAATATTACTAAAAATAGGATAAAATACAAAAAAGTGACCTGTTTTTTAAAATTCTAAAAATGTGACCAACATCACAATTAATCCTGCAGTGCAAAGTGACTACGGGCAAAGTGACTCCGCCGATCACAGTGACTGCCCCGCCGACCACAATGGCCACAGTGACTGCCCCGTCGGCCACAGTGACTGCCCTGCCGGCCACAGTGACTGCCCCGCCGGCCACAGTGACTGCCCCGCCATCACAGCGATTGCCCCACCGCCACAGTGACTCCGGCCACAGTGACTTCCCGCACACCAACCATAGTGACGGCCCATCCACCTATCACAGTGACTATCCGCCCCCAACTCCATCACCACCGTCCACGCCGGAAACCACCGCCTCCCACCGTCGCCTGCCGCCAATCCCAACCCCTCTCCTACACCAACCCCAACCCAAGCATCATCCCCAGCCCCACCACACCCAGCCCCACCACACCCCGCCCCAACCTCACCGCACCCTGCACAATCACTACTGTCCAAGATCTTACCCCCACCTCGCCAATGAACCACCTCCGCCCCCGTTGCGACCACTCCGGTCGGCCACCGAGGCGGCAGATATGGCACCGGCAGCCCTAAGTACGGCAGATCTGGCACCGGCAGCATCAAAGATGGCAGATCCGGCACCGGTGGCCATAAATACCAATCGTGTCCATCAAGCCAGTGGACCAAGCACCGGCGGCCACCCTGTGATAAAATTCCATCGAAGACGGCGGCGGATCTGGCCGAAGACGGCAATCCAGTAGCTCCGAGATTTAGATCTTTGTTCCGATCGAGTTCTACGACGAGAGGGCGGCGATGGCGGTTTGAAATAAAAGAAAATAGAAGAAGTTGAAGAAGACTAGGGTCCGAGTTGTGGCGGCGGCGGAAGAATTCGTAGGTGCGACGGCGGTACAATGGCAACAGCAAATTGACAGGATCGGTGATGGCTGGAGAGCGGGGGCGGAGGCCAGAGAGATAAGTGTGGCAGGTGAGAAGCTTGTCTTGCGTCCATGGCTCCTTGGCGGAGGGGAAAGCCTGCGTAGAGAAGATGTGCGCGTAGGTCTTGTGCGTGGAGGAGTCAAGTCATATTTTTGGGAAAAGGCAAATAAGTCATATTTTTTGAAATGGAAAGCTAATTAGTAATATTGAGGCAATTATTTCTAATTTTTAATATTAAGCGTCTGAAAATGCTCTAGTTATTAGAGTTTTTTTCTGAAATAAAATTAAATAAAAAAGTATTTACGAAAATAGTGTTGAGTTAAATGTATTTACCAAAATAATAAACCATGGTTAATAAGAACCGCCAATCCAGTTGGCGACTTACCTAGACCGTTGCGCGAGGAAAGCAATGCAACGTAAGGAACTGCACGTACCAAATGGAGCAGAGAGGTAATGGTGGGGTACAAGATAAAAAAAATCCCTTTTTTGTTTAAAGTGTTTTAACTTTTTAAATTTTGCTCTAATTTTTACGAAAAGTATACTAAAATTTATAATTTTTTATGATCTTTCATATCACATGAATATCACATATGTAAAAATTTTAAAAAAATTATTAATGTTTACTACTCCTTCCGTCTCACATGAATGTTCATACTTTCCTTTTTGAACATGTCATCATCTCATGTAAAGATGCTCATTTTGGAAAATAATAATCCTTCCGTTCCACTTTACTTGTCTTACTTTCCTTTTTGAGTTGTCCCAAAATAAGTGTCTCTTTTCCTTTTTGAAAAGAAATATGTGGCTTGTTTACTTTATTATACTCAAACCTCAATCGCAACTTTTACTTTTTCAACCACTTCATTAATAATCGTGTCAAATCAATCTAAGACACATAAAATGGGATGGAGGTAGTAACACTCTTAAAAACAATTTAATCATCAAATTTTAAAAATACTAAATTTATAACATCATAAATGATCAAATTTTTTACATTAAAAAAGGATGGGGCGTAAAAATGTCCTTTATTTACTTTTAGCGACTGTAAATATGTTTAAATTTTATATAAAAGTGACTATAAAAATATACTATAAAAGTGACTATTGTTGGGTTAATGGCCCAAGCAGGGGTCGGCCCATCTACCCCCTTATTTGGATGAACGTCCAGACAGGACTTTGGGTGGGCTAAGCTAACAGGACAATTGGTGAAGACGAACGTCGGATCCAAGACCCTTGGCTTACCAGCCCATTCCGACGAACATCCACACATATGACTGAGTCAGGCCCACGAGCCATTATGATAACGACGAACTGTTTCTTAGGGGATTTATTAACTGATTAATAATACCTAATCTTTTACTGGCTACTTACTGTTTTTCTTACTCCATCTCACTTGTTAGTTGGGCTAGTTTATTCATACACACTCCACTCGAAACTCTTGGGCTTACGTGTTGGACCCGAGGGTTGAAGGAATAAACTTCAACAACTATAAAGCATTAAGGTTTATTAAACAATCTTTCCATTTCCTACCGCGATATTAGATTGTTTCTTTCTACTACTCGATATTGGGTTATATTGTTTCCATCTACGCTCCATATTATATTCCATATATACCACATGTTGGGTTTAATCCAACACGATATAGTAAATATATGTATAAATGTGTATGAACAAGCTCAGTTTTTACGTGGAAAACCGAAAGGGAGAAAACCACGGGACTTTTTAGGCTAATGTCCAAGCCCTCTCATTCTCATTAGTCCCTCCTCACCATTACATAGTACAAGTATTGAAGCTCCCATTAATGGAGTTCTAAGCTATTCTAGTGAGAAGGAGGAAGAAGAAAAGATCCAAGGGGTCCCTAAACATGTGGGAAAGCCCCATATTTATAGGGGTAAGGGAAAGGGGGGAACCTAACCTAATGGGCCAAGTAAGCCCAAAATGGGCCCAAGGGGCCGAAACATGCCTAATAGGCTGAAATGGACCTTGTCATTCGGGCTCCAAGCTGGGGCGATGCCTTGGGCTCCTGAACAGTAACGGACCGGGATAATATACCTCAACACAAGTCCCCCAGTTTCTTGAGTAGTGAGCGTGCGAATCTGCTCGAGAAAGTATACTCTTGCCTACGCTCTTCCTCTGCCTTCTCTGCACATAACCTCGGCTTTCGGAGCAAAGGCTAATTCAATGCGTTGGCCTGGGTGCGAGGGATTGGGGCGTTCGGCCCACGGATGCCCGACCCGACTTCCTTTGGACGTTCGACCCTTAGGAACTCGGCCTAGATGTGTCCTTGCTCTTGATGCACGACCCGGTAGCAAACCTCGGAGTCGTCATACAGCGACAATCCTCGGCCTATTCCTAGAGACGTTCGACCTCCAGATGCTAGGCTGGGCTTCCTTGGACGTTCGGCCCCTTGACGGTCAGCCCACTCGATCTCTCGTTGTTGGGGCTCTGGAATTTTCCTTCTGGATGCTCGGCTCGACATGCTTAGGAAGATTAGTCCCTAGAAACCCGACCCAACTTCCTTTGGACGTTCATCCCTAGAAACTCGGCCTAGATGTGTCTTTGCATTTGATGCACGACCCGGTAGCAGACCTCGTAGTCGTCATACAGCGACAATCCTCGGCCTATTCCTAGAGACATTCGACCTCCAGTTGCTAGGTTGGGTCTCCTTGGGACATTTCTACCTCAACATGCTCAGCCTGGGCATGCTCGATCTCAGGATGTGTTGCGCGCCTCAATGCCCTTGGCCTCCGGGGTGGGGATGCTCGTCCCCAGTCTTTGGCCTCTGGATGATGGATGTTCGTCCCCGGGCTTTGGCCTCCGGGTGATGGATGTTCGTCCCCGGGCTTTGGCCTCCGGGTGATGGATGTTCGTCCCCGGGCTTTGGCCTCCGGGTGATGGATGTTCGTCCCCGGGCTTTGGCCTCCGGGTGATGGATGTTCGTCCCCGGGCTTTGGCCTCCGGGTGATGGATGTTCGTCCCCGGGCTTTGGCCTCCGGGTGATGGATGTTCGTCCCCGGGCTTTGGCCTCCGGGTGATGGATGTTCGTCCCCAGGCTTTGGCCTCCGGGTGATGGATGTTCGTCCCCGGGCTTTGGCCTCCGGGTGATGGATGTTTGTCCCCGGGCCTAGGCCACTGGACGATAGATGATCGTCTTCGGGCCCTCGGCATCCGGGGTGAAAGATGCTCGTCCATGGCCCTTGGCTCTTGGGGTGGAAGATGTTCGTCTCCAAGCCCTTGGCCTTTGGTGGTCTTCTTTAGACGCTCGGCTTCTGGGGGGGAGGATGCTCGTCCCCGGGCCTAGGCCACTGGACGATAGATGATCGTCTTCGGGCCCTCGGCATCCGGGGTGAAAGATGCTCGTCCACGGCCCTTGGCTCTTGATGGTCTTCTTTAGATCCTCGACCTCCGGGTGGAATATGCTCGTCCCCAGGCCTAGGCCACTAGACGATAGATGATCGTCTTCGGGGCCTCGGCATCCGGGTGAAAGATGTTCGTCTCCAAGCCCTTGGCCTCTGAGCGGAAGATCGTTAGATCCTCGGCCTCCGGGTGGAAAATGCTCGTCCCCGGGCCTAGGCCACTGGACGATAGATGATCGTCTTCGGGCCCTCGGCATCCGGGGGTGAAAGATGCTCGTCCACGGCCCTTGGCTCTTGATGGTCTTCTTTAGATCCTCGGCCTCCGGGTGGAAGATGCTCGTCCCCGGGCCTAGGCCACTGGACGATAGATGATCGTCTTCGGGCCCTCGGCATCCGGGGTGAAAGATGCTCGTCCCCGGGCTCTTGATGGTTCTCTTTAGACCCTCGGCCTCCGGGTGGAGGATGCTCGTCCCCAAGGCCTTGGCACCAAGGTTCATTTTGAGCATCATCTCTTATCTGACTATGATCTTAATCTCCACAATGAACATAGTAACGCGGCCAAATGGCCAGACAATATGTATATGTGCACATTTTTTTTTGTAGGTCGGCTTGGGGCTCTTCCGGGCATGACGGTCGGCCTCGGAGTGCGATGACCTTCGGCCCGACCCATCACCTAGTTCTTCCGGATATGAGCGTCCACATTGGGGTACGATGACCCTCGACCCGGCTCATCTCCTAATTATTAAATTAAAAACCTGATGGAAGCTCATCCCCGAACTTCGCTCGGCATTATTTATTTCGGGACATTTTAATCCCTATTAAATAATGGCGATAAAACAAATTAACTAGTAATAATACTAGTATGAACTAATTAGAGTGTAGGAATGGTTGTACTTAGCTTGGGATGGATGTGCGGCCAGCTAAGAATTTCCGAAATGATTTTGGTTCCTTTTCCTTTGACTTGGCCCAAATACCCAAGGATGTGCGTCCAGACTTGGCCAAAATTCCCCAGTTGACGTACGTCCAAGCCAAGAGAGTCTCGATTTAGCATAATCCCCCATTTTGCCTTTTGACTTTGTTCAAAATTCTCCAGGAATTTAGCCTTTTACTTGGCCTCAAATCCATACCAATAATATAAGGAGTATCTTTTAGAAAAGCAAACCCGCCCTGCAGTGCTTGATTTCCACCCCAACCTTAAGCTGAGTGTCCCATCTTTCACTGAGAACCAAAGCAGCAATTTCAAGCTGAGTGGCAACTTCAAGCCGGCCGAACGTCTCATAATTTAGGCCGTGCGTGATTATATTTCCGCCCATACTGACGGGCGGCTTTACCGAAACGCCGCCGACGAATTCTATTCCAATCCCGTGCGGCAACTGTATCGGATGTGGCCCCTGTTCTAACTCGAGCATCTGGGTTCTGATGCCGGTCGTCGCCACGGCTGGGTGACGTACGTCGGGTGTTTTGTAGTCGGTGATCAGCCTGGAGTGGGCTCGGGAGCCAAGGCTGGGAGTAGGGTGACCATTAATGGGTCGGTGAGCTGGTATCTCAATGATCCAGAGGCAAGTTGTGATCCTTACGTTGGACGAACGTCCCCCAAGTCAAAGCATTCACAGCAAGCTCCCTCCGGTCCGTTTGTTCGGGAAAAAATGTAACATGCGTATGAAATGCTCCGGACTATACGTACACCCCGTTGAGAAATTGATCAAACTAAACACACTCCTCGTGTCCATGGGCGGCCTTTGCTCCTTACCCGATTGCTGACCGTCAAAGGTAATGGGATGAGCGTCGTTCCCACAGTCACAAGCTTACATGCGTTGAGAGGCGAGCGGCTTAATCATTGGGCAATGCTTCGGATGCCGGCTGGGCGGCCGGCTTACATGGTGCCCGAACTGTTCCCCGACGTTCGTTGTCAACCGGACTGCATTTGTTAGGCCGAACGTCCAGCCAAACGGTGCGTGAATTTGTCCGGAGAAGGGCCGATATGTTCGGAGGGGAACCTGCTCCTCCGCACTCCGTCATCATGAACGGTTTTAGTTCTGTACGTGTGGAACCCACCTGCCAACTCCCTGCAGCTTTCTACTGTAGCTTAATATGACTTTTTCTTTCGTACAAGATGGCTACTGTACTCTTTACTATGTATGGTCCCTACCCATAGTTCATGGGTGAACTCTTGGACGGTTCCAGCCTACTGCTTCCAGGCTTTCGCCGGTCTTCGCCGGAGTGGGGAGCTTCGGCCGTCACGATGTCTTTCCGGCTGACCTCAGTTTGCCATAGTTGCACTTCATGGTCCCCAGGCCTCCACGAGAGGTTGCTAAGGACGTCAAGCTCCTCCTCTGTTCCATGGTCTGCAGATTGAACTGCTAGTTACTTCCTTTCTCTCCTTTTTGCTAAATCATTTTTCCAGGATGTTTTTATTTATTTAATTTTTTCTTCCTCCCCTTAGCTTTTCACGTTAGATCTTCTTCTCCTGCTTGCTTTCCAGAATAGTTTTTCTTTCTTTTTTGCTGGAATCAGTCCACTTCGTATGAATTTCTTTTTGTAGAAGCTGAAGAACACGCTTAGTCTTTTTGAACTGATTCCCACAGACGGCGCCAGTGTTGGGTTTAATCCAACACGATATAGTAAATATATGTATAAATGTGTATGAACAAGCTCAGTTTTTACGTGGAAACCCGAAAGGGAGAAAACCACGGGACTTTTTAGGCTAATGTCCAAGCCCTCTCATTCTCATTAGTCCCTCCTCACCATTACATAGTACAAGTATTGAAGCTCCCATTAATGGAGTTCTAAGCTATTCTAGTGAGAAGGAGGAAGAAGAAAAGATCCAAGGGGTCCCTAAACATGTGGGAAAGCCCCATATTTATAGGGGTAAGGGAAAGGGGGGAACCTAACCTAATGGGCCAAGTAAGCCCAAAATGGGCCCAAGGGGCCGAAACATGCCTAATAGGCTGAAATGGACCTTGTCATTCGGGCTCCAAGCTGAGGCGATGCCTTGGACTCCTGAACAGTAACGGACCGGGATAATATACCTCAACACCACATAATATATTTATAAGAGCATTGAAAAACTTCACAACGGAAGTACGCCTAGGGTTTGGCGGCCAATCTTAACAGTAATCAGGCTATGTGGGCTAACATTAGTTTCAAATCTCTCGTATGTTCAACGAATAGTCTCGCTCAGTTTGGGATGATCTATTCTAGTTTTGGAAGTAATTAGGCTATGTGGGCCGACATTAAAACTTGCCACTAATTAACTCTTGGTCACTTCTTTCATAAAAACTCGACACTTTAATAATATACTGTCATAGTCATTTTCATATAAAATTTAAACATAGTTATGGTCACTAAGAGTAAATAAGTGACATGTTTACTCACTATCATGATTTTGATCATATATTAGAAATTATTTGTTTATTTAGTTCAAAATATCGTATTTAAAAAATGGAAATGTTGTTTAATACCTAGTAACATTATGATTTTTTTTATTGGTGTCATATGAAAGTTCCTAAAAAATTATTATCATCAATATCACATATCTAAAATTAAACAATTAAAATCACTAATATTACATATGTAAAATTAAAAAGTAAATACATTATTTTTTTTAATTTTACATATGTGATATTGATGTCATATGAAAGATCATAAAAAATTATGAGTTTTGATATATTTTTTGTAAAAATTGGAGCAAAAATAAAAAAGTTATAACACTTTAAACAAAAATGGGATTTTTTATACCTTGGACCCCACCTCTACCTCTTTCCTCCATTTAGTACGAGCATGCATGTCGTTAGTTTGCATTGCTTCCTCCGCCCATACACATAAGGGTTAGTTTGCAACTGCTTTTAAAAAAGCACTTCTCAGCTTTTGGCTTTAAAAAAGCACTTATTTTCCCAAACACTACAACTTTTATTTTTCTCGGCTTCCGCGTCAAAAGTGCTTTTACTTTTTCTATTACACAAAAAGCACTTATTTTACCAAACACTACCCACGTTTACTTTTCAAAATCACTTTTTTCTCAAACACTATCAACTTTTATTTAATCACTTTTCCTCATTTCATTAAAAAAACACTTTTTTAAAAGCAGAAGCTGTTGCAAACAGACCCTAAGTCGCCAATTGGATTGGCGGTTCTTTTTAACCATGGTTTGAGCAGCATCAATTTGGTAAAAACTTTTCATTCAACCATATTTTCGTAATTAGTTTTTTACTTAGCATTAGTTGGGAAAAAAACACTAGTTATTACACCATGTATTTGATGTGCCCATACGATGTATCTTACACTATACGTAAGATATTGAACATTCCTAGGTGAGAATATGTTTTTTTTTTAAATAAAAAACCATAAAACTCACCCAACAAAACTAGAAAGTAGGGTAAGTGACATCACTCTAAAGTTTTGTTTTTTATTTTGAAATGATAAATGAATGAAAAGAATAAGGGAAAACTGTCAAATAGGTCCTCCAACTTTCATAAAAAGGTCAATTAAGTTCTTCTATATGAGGTTCTATCCGGCCATCGCGATTTAGGGCCATCGAATTTTTTGATGAAAATTTTTGAGCATCTTATTCACCAAGTCTAGTTTACTCATATCAAATTTCAGGTAACAATTCAATCGGGAACACATTCAAATTAATTCTTGAAGATAACTGCGCATTTTTGCGTTCTCGAATTAATTTGAATGCGCTCCCGATTAATTTTTTAGCTGAAGTTTGGTATGAGTAAACTAGACTCGATTAATAAGATGCTCAAAACAATTCATCAAAAAATTCCACCGGGAACCGCCCCAAATCGCGACGTACAGTCGTACAGAGTCTCCTATCGAAGGACTTAAGACTTTTTTATGAAAGTTCGATGAACTATTTGACAATTTTCCCTTTAATAACGAGGTGTATTAGTTTATTAATCAATTAATGACATCAATATACTCCGTACTTCTTTTAATTCTGTATGTTAGTTCACGTGAAGAAGAAATTAAATGCATCTTCTACGATCACAATTTGGCCATTTGGTACTAGGAAGACAAACCCAACTGCGACTACTTCCGCTGCCCTGCCCCACACCACCTGTTATAACCGTCCGTCTTGTGAGTTGTGACATCTACCGGCGTGTAGGTGGGTCAAGGTATCATCATCATTCTGGTATGGCGTATTTGTTACTAGCCTAACGAATTAGATTCTCACATGCTTAAATTATCTCCGCGCCCTCCCCATTTTGGGAAGACTAGACTTGAATCATGGTTATTTTTTCGTGCTCCGTTACGCTTCTGATGTGCACGGGTACAAAACTACAAACTCCATCATTATTAGGTCGATTGAGTTTCTTGAAAGTCTTGTCAAGTTGGAGCGTGGGAACCCTTGGAATTGGGGATTCAACCTTTTGGAACATTGAAACATGGTGATTCAATCAGTGGAAGTGTGGAACATCTTATACTTGTACGCATTAAAAGCTCAATCCAACACATATGAATTGTGACGTCCACATGATTGTTGCGGATTTCGAACCTTAATCATTGTTAGCGATTTTTTGGTAAAGATTAAAATTACGAGTAATCATTGTGGTCCATTTTTATTAAGAGTTTGTTTGTTAGTGCTAGAGTGGATTAAATCTACTCAAATTGTTGAATATGTGAAATTATTATTGATAAACAAAAATGCTAAATTATAAACAAATTATATTGATATACATTTTATACATTTAATTATTAAATTAAATAAAAATTCTATGAAAACAAACTAAAATAGTGTGCTAGCACGAATTTAGCTGAAAAGTAATTTCAGTCTTATTTATTTTGAATACTACCCCCACCAAAGGACTGAGTTTTGTAAACGAGGATATGGTGATGTTATTAATAAAAGTTGATTTGTGTGACCAATAGATATGAGTTGGTAGTATGAATAAATTAAGAATGAATTGCAATGAATCATTCAAATATTATCAAATATGACATGAAACAACGTTTTCCCCATAAATAAGAATAATATATTGTGTGTGGACAAAAATACCCAAGTGTTTAGGGTACATTAAGGTTTAGGTTAATGGTTGCTAGCGGTGGCAGCGGAGGCTCAACGAACAGCAGTGGCGTTCCGATAACCGACAGCGGCCACCCAGCGGCAACAATGGTTGTCCAGTGAGAGTGGCCAAAAGCTTCAAACTCTATAACGGTGTTTTTGTTCAACCAAAAATTATTATATTACTTCTATTTAGAGAATTTAGAGAATTTAAACATTATCTCATATACTTTCATTTTAGATATGCTTTGCTCCTATTGTGGAAATTTTCTGTTTCAAGTTTCATGTTTTATATTAATTAGTATTTTGTACATTGCCTGAGTAAGACAAATTGTTCAACATAAAATATATGATTCATAAGCAAAAATTAGGGGCGAAGTAAACCATACAATCATTATTTGGTTCTCCTAGGGAGATTTCTTATTATGCTGCTTATGATGAAACCGTTTACCTAATTATAGTTAATTGAGAAGATGACCAAATGTTATGTAAGTTTGATCTTTTACCAAGGGGAAATGTATGTAGGAGTATAAGATAATAAGAAGCCAGTGCATAAGCTTTTCAGTCAGGAACTGGAATGAGGAAACATACTATTATTTAAAGCGTACAATGTGCACTGGCCGGATACATTTTTATTAATTTAGGTTCTATAAAAGGCGACCCTTCAATTCTGCATGGAAATGCAAACATTCAGCTACATCTAATCGATCAACATGCAACCCTTCGACTCCGACGCACAAGCCTTCTCGGAATCCCAAATATGAGTGCCTTCATCAAGAATCCCCGATCGAAGCTACAAGCAAGGGCTAAAGCTCCAACACAGACGACCAACTTTGAAATCATAACATCTGGTGATGCAGCAGCAGCAGCTGGTTTATTGTGGGAGGAACATTTATTAGTTTCCACTTCAGATGAAGAACTACTAGTGGAACCATCTTGCTTCTCAAGTAATTGAAGCAGAGTGCTAGGAAGACTGGTAAGCTTAGTGTTTATATGAGCCAACAGAACATATCGGGAAAGTGGGGGATCAGATGCTCGGTACTTGAGATAAGCTCGCAGCCCAGGGTCAATCCTCTTGACGGTTCCCCACATGCCATTCTCAACTCCAAACTTTGCGATCCCCCTAGGCATTCCCATATCCTCGTAATGGAAGAGTGTGATCTCACTTGCACTCATCTGCCCATCTCTTTCTGATTTAGCTGCATGCATAAGTTTCACATTAACCACAGTAATATTGCAAGTTTTACCATAATGTAGAGCAAAAATCAATGCACCAGTTTATATAGTTACACAAGATTTATGAGCTACCAACTAAACAGTGTTATAAATACCAGGTTGAATGCGCCAACTTGACCAAAATTCATCAACTTTTTTTGCATTTTCTCTTCTGGTGATATAAGTACAAGGCACACCCTGACAAATTGCATTGTGTAATAAATTAATACAGAGCATAAGCTTCAATATGAAGGGTAAGATATGAGTGGTTAGATATCCATGCGCTTCTTTATACTTGTATATACTGCAGGTCTGCAGTACATCAAAATGACAAAATGTATGAAAATCAGGAGGCATTTTTTGTAATTTTCTTGATGTTGCTCATAATTTCCTTTAAAGAATGTTGATTACCTTTTCAGCCTACTCATGTTCATGCTCTATTTATTTTGATCATATTTCATTAAAGCATGCTCATTTGCATAGGACAGTTGCTTCTTTTCTTCTAAAATACTCGTGTGTTTATTTTACCTGGTTAGATGTATGATTATTATGGCACATCCGGATGTACCACATACAAACTAATTATTTTTGGTCCATTGGCCCTTAAATTGTTAATGCATTATCGATAGCTACTTAGTCAAATGTCAAGCAGCTATTAAGAATGATCAGTCGTGCTGTAGCAACATTAATGTGTGTATGTCTGTGTGATACATATTCTAATAATATTAGTCAGGCTCACATGTAAATAAAGCCAAAAATATAATCTGCGACTGCTAGAATTATTAAGAAAACATTTAAACTAGACCCAACCATCCAAACCAACTTCTAAGAGTCTAATTGCAATTATCCAGATTGCGCCACTGAGTCACTCAATCCAAAAGTTCTTAAAACGTTCATATCTTATTTCATAATCATCTTCTGGGTCGATATTTGTATTATCCCTTTGCCTAAATTAGTTTTTACCAAGTCAAGGATATCCTCAACCTAGTTATGACAGAGTAAAATGATCAACGAGTCAACAAAACAGCAGCAAAGTCAAGAAAACAGCAGCAGAGCACACACTAGGGAGGCTACTCATAGCATTAGCTAGAACTCGTCAAGTACTCACTGATTTAACAACTTATATTGCAATAGTTATAGAAATCTTTGATGCCTGTTGACTATTGGGGAGTCGTTTATATGAATGCAAAAGAATAAAGAAATAGGATTCAATCATTTTTACACATAGAATTCAGGCTATTATGTACTGCAAGATAAACCTTGAATTTACCTTGCATATGCAATAATAAGAATCGCCTAACTGCCAAATCCGACGAGCGATTGTGTAATCTCTATAACAAGCGACAACGGGAAACTATGCAAAGTAGAATAAAGATTCATAAAAAAATGATCTATTAAATCGGTAATCACTATTGCTAAATAAAGAAATTACAATAATTAGTAAGGTAAAGAGGATAGGCACCATACTTTGCGAATCCAGTGAACTAGCATAGCTCCAGTCTCTTTACACTCCTCCAAGAGATCGGATTTGAAATGCATTGCATCCCAGTTGGATCTGAACTCATCATCCCAATAGAAATCCCTGAGGATTTCGGTTGTAATATCCTCGTGTATAGTTATGGTTCTATACATCAAGTGGCCCTTCTGCAGAAGGGGCAGGTAAGCAAAATACAAGTACAAAAAAACATATCAGAAAAAGGTGCATGGATAATCATACAATATATAAAATAAACAATCCTGCTGATCAAGAAAAAGATATGATGACCTTAGAGTTTCTACGATGACCTTTGAACCTTATGTTGGTATCAGACCGTTCCAACACCTTAACCCAACAAGGTCCATCAATCTCTTCTTCAAGCAATTGGTGTAATTCAAGAAGGTCTTTCTCAGTTAATATGTAAGGTTTTGCTACACTTGGTTGCAATGCTCTGTATAAACCCATTCAAATTGTTATTTAAAACCAGAAATCAAATAAAGTAATAGAAATGTATCAAAAGGTCAACCTAATAGAAGAGTAGTACAAACTCCAAACCATTGTTTGTGAGTTTGTATCTCTATATAAGACCGTGTATGGTGAATTAACATGCCACAAGATTGTGGGTCATTGGAGCAGAATAATCATGAAATCCTTTTTGAGACTCAGTCACATGGATTGTTAACTTGAGCTTATGTGACTTCGATATCATATTAAGACACACTTGATAATTCACCTTGAAAGGTAAATCTTAGAAAATGATTACAACACAACCTATAAGTTGGTTTTTATTTCTATACAAAAAAAAACTAAGATAAACTCATGACTAACCTCAACTACTGCTGGCCTTCTGATAATCTCATAATGCTTCCAAATATGACTTACTCTATAATAACCTTAACAGCTATGCTCCCTTTGGATGGAAATGAATGTAGTTAAATATAGGTAAGAAAATTGATTAATTTCATTTTGGAACTTATTTGATACGTAGTAAGTGATATTATTGTGAACCAAAAGGGGTGCTTCCTTAAATGATCTCAAATAAATTTCAACTTAGTGAACAACTTAAAACCTGATATTTTAGGAAAGATAAGTAGAATAATCCCTATTATTGGTATTCAGGGCACAATATCTTCTCCAACCCATTCTATTATGGACAGACGGTTGAGACAATTCTGAGATTGATTATCAGGTGAGATTTATAAATAATAATGATCCGCAGGCTATAATCTGTGCAATAAAATAGATAACAAACTAGAGATATTGCGGCAAACCTCTGTACAGGGGTGACTTCCGGAGTTTCATTCTCATCACTCCAAGTAATTAAGCTCGGCAATTGAAAGTTCGTCAAATTCTGAACTGAACCAAACTCCACTGGGAAGCTAATCCCAGAAAAAGACGGAAACGAAGACGACGGCATTATCGAGGAAACCCAATTTACAGCACCATCCAAGTTAGCCCAATTCGGCTTCCACGCCCAACCCGCCAACAATCCGACCACAACCGCTAACCAGAGCGGCGTAGAATACACTAACAGATCAAAGATTGCATACCCAATCGCTGTATCTTGCAAAAACTCGAATAAGCCGTCCATGTTCATTCAGTAAAGCGAGCAGTTCTTTGTTGTTTTGGCGGCAAACTGGGGAGTGTGTGAGAATGGATATATACATGGAATGGGGGATTGGAGATGTTTCAGCTTCCTTAAACGTGGGCAAATGTTTATCCAAATCTGGGAATTTCAGCGTTAGAGCAGACAAACACGGAACTTGTTGCATCGATCGGGGAGCAGTTTGAACGACTCTATTTTGTTGTCTGTGTGTAAAACTCGGAAAATGGAATTCATTGCACCAAGGTAAGCATGCACTCACACTCATGCACCGCCCGCATTTCGAAAATATTACATCCCTCCCCCCAAATGGATTTCATTCTACTTATCATAGAATTATTATTACAAAAATGCTATTTGTACCCATTATAATACCCACCATATACCCACTATATATACTCCCAAAAATTAGTTACTCTCTTTCACCTCTTTTACCCCTCCCCATCTCTCCTCTCTCCCCCTCCATTCAGCTAGGCCATTTCCCTCCTCCCCCTTCTTCCTACGCCCCTTTTCTCTCTTCTTTATTTTTTCTTCTTCTACAAAATCTTTCAATTACCAACAAAGCTCAACTTAAGAAAATCATAAGAGTTTCTTTCCCTCACACGTAGTACAACTGTTCTAGCTCTAAAACTTTGAATGTTGAGGTAATGATTTACTTCAGTTTGTTTTGGCTTTTACATTTATACTTTTTTTATTTTTCAGATTTATATGTATCTTGTTATGTTGAAAGCAAAGATTTTAGTATGATGTTGAATGTATGATTATTTTGTTTCATTCTTATGGATTGGTGATGCTAAATCTTGAAATTTCAGTTAAATTATTCTACTTTATTTTTATGCACATGACATGTTTGTTTAAATGCTTCACTGAAATTTGAATGAATGTTTTTTGAAGTTGTTATTATAGTTGTAGTTGTATTATATATGTTGTTTGTCATCATAAAATTGATATTTTATTCATGTAAATTTCTAAGAAGAACTTGTTTTTTGGATTAATTTGTAAACTGTCATGTATATTTATGGTTCAGAATTAAATGAGAGTATGGAAAAGGAGAAGGTTATAACTTCTCACTGTGTGCTTATTTATATTGTTTGTGCTTGGTTAAAATATTGTTTATGTGTTTATTTATTTTGTTTGTGCGTAGATAATATTTGTCTGTGTGTTCGTTTATATGTTATGATGTCAATGGAACTTTTGTGTGTGAAATGAGTAAAGTCCAGAATGTTTCTTAATGTTTGTCATTGAATTTAATTCCTTTTAGGAGATGCTTACGAATCATGAATTTAAATGCGTTTAACAGGTGTTTAACAACGTCAGCATGGCATGCTTGGGATCGAGCTCTTACTAGGGCAAATATCTCTATAAGGAAGTTTGTACCAAAAGTTACAACCATGAAAAAATGCTGAAAAATGATTGATCAACCGAAGATTGGGAAAATACTCTATAGACTTTGCTTTGTTGGATGCATATACTGTTTGGAGAAATAAAGACCTCTGACTTCTTGCAAATACAATTGCATTATTGTAAAAGTGTAGTATTTTTTAATTTATTTAACTGGTGTTATTTCATACTCTTGTAAAATAATTGGAGTAATAAATGAAAAGTTTGATCTTTTTTGTTATAGCCATCGAAATGGGCTAATGTGTTAAGTAGAATCGTGTATGAACTAGATTTGAAGAGTCTATGTCAAATGAAATTGTGAGAAATTGTATGTGTTCATTTATATTGTTTGTACGTGTTTAAAACATTGTAGATGTATTCTTTTTTTTCTCATAAAATTATCGTCTGTGTTTTTGTTTATATTGTCTGTGCATAGAAGCTAAATGTCTTTGTGTTTGTTTATTTTGTCTGTGCATAGAAAGTAATTGTATGTGTGTTCATTTACATAGTTTGTGCATTGTTTAAATGTGTGTTTGTTAATTTTTTCTATGAGTAAGAAATAACTGTCTATAAATTCATTTATTTTGTTTGTACATAGAAAATTATTGTCTGTATATTCATATATATTATTTGTTCATAATTAAAATATTTATGTGTGTTCATTTATTTAACCTGTGCATAGAAATAAATTGTCTGTTTGTTCATTTATATAGTCTCTGTGTGGATTAAACGTGTCTTTTTATCTATATGTGGAAAATAATTGTTTATGCAATTGTTTATATTGTCTGTGCGAGACAACAAGCTTATCTAAGATTAATAATTGATTTGTTTGTGAGCATCACAAACATCCTATTTTCATGAAAATCACATACCCTTTCAAGCTAAAAAGTATCCGGCTAATCACCAAAAAAACAATAATTAAATACCCAAATTAAAAAACAACCAAAATAAAAAACAACCAAAATATTTATACTCAGAAGAATTTAACATCCCATAGGAACACGACAAGTAGAAAACAACACCCCGCCTTCCGCCTTCCATTTACTCCAGTAAGGTGCATTCCTTTCCCTTACTGATAACCCATCCCCAATAAGGTCATACCCAACAGCTTGAAAGGCTTCCACGCAATCTCCATGTCTTCACCTTCTTGGCACAAAATGTAAGGGTAAGCTCCCCACCTGCAAGTCTGCAACCTAGAGACGCTCTGCCTTCTACATGTTCATGAAGTTATAAACTTGTGCTGCATTCCTTTCCTGATAATGCTTCCGAGCCATTCTATAGTAGAGGGCGATAATAAGTTTGTATTGCTTAGGATCCTCTCCTATCCAGCGACAGTTCTTCTTTTACACCACCAATTTCCAAGAAGTAGGGGTGATTCACGCCACCAAGTTCTTCTTAAGATGAAAACATCAATTTATCAGCCAAACAGCTAGATGAAATTATACACTCATGGCCTGACGCTCCTATCCTGCCTTCTTAGCAACTGAAACATATCAAGATTTATCATTAATATCACTTGACGATAATTTGCTCATATGAGATAGTATTTCAATACATGACCCAAACACACCCACCACCAAAAATATATTAAAAAGGGACACTTTTAACTTAAATTCCTTAAATTGAGGGCTATCAAGAGTTCAAGACTAGGAGCAACTCGGCAAAAGTAGAAGAGATTTAGTAGAATCAATTACTAATCATTCTCGGCCTAAGGTCTTTAACCATTTTACAAACAGATTAAGAACTAATGTTCAAATAGTTAATTGATACTTATCAAATAAAATAGTCAAACAATGAACATATAGCATAATAATTGAAACTGCAAAACAAAAAAAAGGTTGAACTACAAAACTAGAAAATAAAAAAATGTCCAAGATAAAATAAATCAAACATTTTGTGGAATACATCCTAAACAAGACATGATTAACCTAATCTTCAAAACAAGGCCATTGATAGTAATAATTTTCTTAGCAAAAATAAATCCATTTCTCGGTTCCAAATAAAGTACAATGAACAACACAAATTAAAATTAACTGAAAAACCTTGAATACGAGTCTTGCTCCTTTATATTGCTTTAGAAACATTTTAACGGTGCTAAGAAGTGTGTTCAGATCTTTCTTAAAATTCAATCAATGTTTAACCTCATGGTTGTAATTTTTGCTACAAACTTTCTTACATAATATTTGCCCGTACTGACAACTCTCAAACCTGCCATGCTATAAAGAAACAATACAATATAAGCAATGCAAATTTTAGGATTGAAAATTAAAAGTATAATAAACTATTTATTTAATAACATATTTACATGTGAGCTATGTGACCGCTAAGAACCTCAATTTGTGACTTATGCTGCTATAGATGTTGTCTTAGCAGTCAAGCTAAGACTTGCTCAACAACTTTAAGTACATTTCTTTTTTCATTTACAAGCAGCTCATGTATGTATTTATTCCATATTTCCCTCTAAAAGGTCAAAGGTTGAATGATGGAAAAAAGGTTGTCTACCACTGTGGTATAATTACAGCAACAAAGACATCTCAGGGAAGATCCACACTGAATGTGCATTATCATTTGATTTTGATCTTTGCATCAAATGCTTTTCTATTTGAGCAGAAATACATCCTCACAATAAAAAAAACTATACATCATTATTCAATTTGAGAAACAAGAAAATTGGAATCTTGAACTAATTAACAAAAAAGAATCAATCAAAAAAACAAAAACAAAAAAAGGAGAGTAAAAGTCTTGGATTTAAACAAAAAAAATCAGAGTAATTTCAACAAACATGTTATGAGCATAAATGTGAAATAGAGTAATTGAATTAACATTTCAATAGTTAACCCTACATTCTCTTACAATATTACAAAGTATTCAACTAATTAGTGTTATAACATACATTATACACTACAAATTATGAGAAATTTTAAATAAACAAAACCCTAAAGTGCATATAGTAGAAAAATCCAATAGGTTATTACCTCAATTTATGGGTTAGTTGATGGGGGCTTCTTGATCCAGCAGCTCAAATCGACCTCTCATCCACACACTTTGCACTGATTCCAGCCGCAAACACACCACTATTGAGCTCAGACTTGAAGACAAGTGACCGCCTAAGTGTTTATTTCTGGAATTTGGAAAGGGAGAAAAAAAGTGAAATGAGAAAGGGGAAAAGGAAAACTAGAGGAGGGGGTTGAGATGGAGATGCGTAACTTAGGGATGTGGGAGAAGGGAGTGGGAAGACAAAGGGTGAAAAAAAGAGGAATAGAGGTAAAAAATTAAAGCCCATTTATAGTGTGTACATGGTGTGTACAAATGTGTGTACAAGAAGCATTTTTGTTATTATTAAGAACCCGTTGGAAAATATTCAATAGACTCTATATAGATTTTGTTTGAAATTTATGAAATTCCGAGATTGATTGGCTTAGCTGGTTTATGCAAAAAATATTTAAAATATATGTAGTATTTTATTGATAAAGTAAATAAAAAATTATATGAAAAACAACTAAAATGATCATTTATATTAACTTCATCAATACAGTTAGAAAAGTATGAGAAAAATAG